GAAGTTGGACTGGATGATCTCTAGAGGTCCCAACCCCTGACATGCTGTGATTCTATTATGAACGTGAAGCGTTTCAAAGCTGGCATGAGAGCATCCTCTGTGCATAACAGGCAGTGTTTGGGATTACTGAAATTGCACAGAATTCATCCACTTCTGCAGTGTCCGTGTAGCTTTAAGCATGTGTAGTGCTGTCGCACATTTAGTGTCACTACCTGACTGCAGTAACGTGCTGAAGGCCTACAGCTACTGTGCTTTTCCCAACAAGGGCTGGACTAGATGATTCTCGAGGTCACTTCCAACCTAGTATTCTGTCTATGATTCCCTTCCAGGCTCACAACCGAAGGAGCGCCCTCGCTCTGCAATACTCGCTCCTGATGAAAGCACGGTAACCTCAATATTTAATAACAGGAGATCACAACAGACCACAGCACTTTCCAAAAGTGTCTCGATACAGAACATTGCAGGGTAAGGTTCCTCCCTGCAGGCGCGGGTATGTGGGTATTATCTGATGCTGTGAGCGTAGGGAAATTCAGATCTCACTAAAAATAAATTCGTGTACTATGATTTATGTTGAAGTCCAAAAGAGGATCACAAACCCAAGAATACACATATTATATATGATACCATCAGTTGTTTTCTGCACAATCAGATTGTCTGAGTTAGTTTAGTCCTGGCGTGAGTTCAGAGGCGTCGGATTTGGTTCTGTTCAAGGCCACTTCACAGAAACTCTCTGGGCTCCACGAGGAAATTCCCTTGCCTTGGGCTCGGTACTGTGCACGTACACATTTGCAGCTCAGGTGTAGTATTAACTTTTGTGTCCATAACAGTAGGGTGGAGACACAGAACTGCAGTCTTCATAGTGTTTGAAGTCTGCATTGTGCAAAATTAATTAGGAAAAAAATATAATTTAAGGTTTCTATAGGACCTGTGTATTGGGCCTTTCTACACATAGGGCATGTTCTGGACAGTTTATGTGCTCTGGTTGTTCAGGGTGGAATTTATTTCAGTCCATTTTTCTGGTCTTTCTCAGAGCTAAAGACTCTCACATAGCCTTTTGTGTTGCATTTTTGCACTGCTTGCACCAAGGACAGTGAGGATGGGAAGTGACTGTAAAATGGAAAGTAATGAAAAGGAGTTATCCAAACACCTCAGGTGTGATTCTTTATGGAAGAAGCAGTGTCACCCATAACTGTAGATGTTACAGCTAGTTGAGCCTCTGTAGGTAGTTGTTAGAAAGCAGTTAATAAAAGTGCATATCTATACATAGCTGTGCAGTGCTTCCTTTGGTTTTCAATTCATATTTAAAATGCATTTCTTCTGTGTATTTGAAAGTAAATTTGGCCAGGGTTTTAGGTCATAAATGATATTGTGTGTTCTGTTTTTCTGCAGAGTTGGGAGTGATGACAGCTTAATACACACTTGGAAATTCCTGTCACAGTCCACAGATTCTTTACACAAAATCAACCGGGTGAATGAATCTATGGAGTCACTTGTGGATGAAGGTAAGAGATCATCCCCGTGGCATTTATAGCAAAAGAAAGTTCTCAGTGCTGATTTCCAGAAATAGAAAATCCAATTTGGCATTTCAGCATTTTACTTTCTAATGGACAATTTAAGTGCATTTACTTTTATCTTAGAATATGATAAACTAAAGCAAAGCCCCATGAAGTAATTTCTTCAGCTTGTTATACTGTGGGAAAACATTTATAAGGTTTCAGTTAAGCTGACTTACTTGGAATTCAGCTCAGAGGCAAGCATTTCCTCTTTTGTTCTGTACCTCTGGTCCATTCACACAGCCACAGATTTTGCACTCTGTCACCTTCTCCATGCTGATGAAGAATCCGTTGCCTTTTATCTGAGCTAGAATTTGGTCTATATGAAAATGGTGAACTAGTTTTGTGCAACTAGCAAATAACCTTTAAAAGAGCTTTTCATAGCCTGGTCCTTACATGGTATAATTCCGTATGACAATTTTTGTGTTGTTAAAGGACAATGTATGTGGTGTCTGTGTCTCTGTCTGTGACGGAGAAAGCCTAAATGAACAGACAGGAATCTCAAATGAGACGTTACCCACATCTTAATGGCACTTACATTGCTTTGTGAAGGTGCAGACATGAACGAAGGACAACTGATGGGAGACCTGGAACTAGATTCCAAGCAGCTGGAGGCAGAGTCCTGGAGCCAGGTAGTGGACAGCAGGTTTCTGCAGCAGCAAAACAAAGATGTTGTGAAACGGCAAGATGTCATTTATGGTGAGACCTTAAGATTAAGACTTGCATCTTTATTTTTCGCTCATTGTAGATAGCATCTTGATCCATTCACATACATAGGTTAGAGAAGCTTTAGGTCAGTGAACAGGAATACTGACTTGATTTCCTCAGAAGCTGAAGTTTCATTCTTGAAGGTCTTAGAAATTTAATGTACTCTGTGAAAGCCTTCTTTCTGCATTTCAAATATCCAGATGCCATTATAAAAAGGACAGAAATGGCCTCTTCTTATTTGTCTGCTGATGGCATTTAAACTCTGTTGGAGCAGAGCAGCTAACTAGGGAGTCTTCTCCTGGCAGATGCAAGAGCTGTCCTGTGTGGCAGAAGCACACTGTGTTCAGGCTGGCAGGGAGGTGTTGGGAAGGAGCAGATACCAGTGCTGAAGGTTCAGACCTCAGCAGCGATGTCCGAGGATCTTTATTCTGGGATTCCTCCACCCCCCTGTTTCTCCCACATGTCAAATTATTATTTGATGTTTCAGTACCTGCCGGAAAATTTTCTGAAGCCACTTAGTGAAGCCTGGTTAGGGAAGAGCTGCTGAATGGCAGCTTGACCTTGTACTGTACACCCATGTACTCTACAGTGACCTTGATATTGACCTTTTCCTCCTTCTGTACAGAGTTAATGCAGACAGAAATGCATCATGTCCGCACCCTGAAGATCATGAATGATGTATATAGTGCGGGGATGTTAAAGGAACTGCAGTATGATCAACAAATTGTGGACAAGATCTTTCCCTGCCTGGAAAACTTGCTGCATATCCACAGTCACTTCTTCCAGCGGATTCTGGAAAGGAAGAAAGAGTCATTGGCAGACAAAAGTGAAAAGAACTTTGTTATCAAGAGGATAGGTGACATCTTAGTGAATCAAGTAAGTGCTGGAAAATGGTTGCATTCTGAAAGCACAGCTGGAAGCCATGCGCTCTTCCTTCCCTCTTGTTTATGCCTGTTGTATAATCACGGTTAATAACACCATTACTCTTCACACATGTAGAAGTCTCTGCCTCTGCTTTTTGAAGCACTTTTTACTCTTTCAGAGGAGGGTCTAATGCTGAAAATTAATTTATTCTGTCAGAAAGAGAAGCATTCCCTGACAGGCACCAACAGTTTGGTCACAGCCTGGAGGATAGGCAGTAGCCCACAGCAAAATATGCCCAGTGCGGCTCTTGGCTGAGCTACTGACCTGGTATTTAACTTTGGGTGGGTCATTTTAACTTCCTCTATCTGTGTTCTGACCCTTCTTCTTTTTGTCTGTCCTGACATTTTTCTTGCTGGCTTTTAAGCCCTGTGAGTAGAATCCCCAAATTTACATGGAAACATAAACTCAGCTCTTCACATTGTAGAGATCTGCTCACTCGATTTAGGACGCTTTGGACTAATTTGGTTCAAGTTCTTCGCAGAGGCTGGCAGGCACTGTTGGGGGTGCAAATTGAACCTTTATGTCTCATGTCTTGCAGTTCTCTGGTGAGAGTGCTGAGCGAATGAAGAAAACGTATGGCAAATTCTGCGGGCATCACAACGAGGCAGTAAATCACTTCAAAGATCTGTACTCAAAGGACAAGCGGTTTCAGGCATTTGTCAAGGTAGGACTTCGTAGAGCAGACATTGCCAATGGAAAAAGTATGTCCTTCCTGCGCTCCGGTGAGCGTTTTGCTACAGAACTGAAATTGTAATCTTTCTCCCTTAGAAAAAAATGAGCACCTCCCTGGTGAGGCGTCTTGGCATTACTGAATGTATCCTGCTGGTAACACAGAGAATCACAAAGTACCCGGTCCTTTTACAAAGGATATTGCAGTACACTGAAGGTAGGGACCAGTTCCTCTATTCTAAGTGTGCATTTGTTTCTCCAGTGTGAATTTCTTGGAGCCTTTTCAACGGAAGCAGATTTTCTTAGAATAGACTGACTAATCTAGTCATTATTGTCTCACACTGCTATAATGAGGTAACTCAGTTTCATATCTTCTTTTAGGATTAGTTATTCAGGTGCCTTGATTTAGTAGTTGTAAGTCTGTCTGTAGATTAATTATGAAGTAACATGCTTAGACTCCAAAGTCTCCCAAGAAAGCTTGCTTTTTTTTTGTAATGGCTAAAATATGTGGTTAATGTGTGCATTTCATCTGTACTGTCTTATATACGAAGTGCATTAGAATAGTCCCCAAGCTCAGCCATATATGTTAAAGGTTTTGTGGAACTCTCCTTAGGGAAAAAAAGTGCAACCTGTCTCTTAAGAGTGTTTAAAAGTTATAATGCAGAAATTTGAGTGGGAAAAGTGGAAGGAAAGTAAAAAGAGAAAGTCAGTCCACCAGGATGAAGTGAAATTGAGGTGTTTCTCTTTCTGTTCATAGAAAACCAAGTGGAACACGAAGACTTGACACAGTCATTAAACCTCGTTAAGGATGTGATTGCAGCAGTCAACACCAAAGTCAGCAGTTACGAAAAGAAAATGCGTCTTGGTGAGATTTACAACCGGACGGATAGCAAGTCCATCATGAGGATGAAGAGTGGCCAGATGTTTGCAAGGGAAGACTTGAGGCATCGGAAGCTCATCCGAGATGGGCCTGTTTCACTTAAAAATGCAGCTGGCCGGTTAAAAGGTAAGACTGTCCTGCCTTCTGCCAGGGGAGGGTACAGCTTGCCCTTTCTGGGTGTAGGATTAGTCCTCAGATTGGTGTCTCCAGCCTTTCTTTATTCTTCGGCTTTGAGATATTTTGACAACATTTCGGCAGTTCCAGGAAGCCTGCTGGCTGCATCCAAAACCCAGCCTCAGCTTCCCGGTGGTTGTGCCCACAGCAGCGCTGCCTTTGCTCTGCTCTGAGGGCTGCAGTCGGGCTGCTCAGGCTCGGCGTTACCATCCCGCTTTCACTGGGACTCCAGAGAGCTGTCCCGGGCATTTTGTTGCTCCTGAACCTCTTGAGCTGCTGACACAAACTGTTCAGGAGAGGCTGTGATGTCCCTGCAGCTGCCTCTTGTTTGGTCAGTGTTTTCTTGAATTGCTTTTTGTTGGTTATCAGGTGGAAATAGTTTTTCTAAGGCACTGTGCTTTGCCGAGCACTGAAGTTCTCTGCTGAATTAAACACTAAATCTCCAAAGGAAGCCTTCAGCTGGCACCACGGTAGCAATAAGAGCAGACAGGTCTGTGTCTCAGGCTTGGCAGGAAGGCTGGACTCTCCTTCTCTCACTCCAGTTTGAGCTGATTAAACCACAGTACATGGGCATGAATGGGGACTGGTAGCCTAGTGCTGTGCTGTGCAGGGAGGCAGTGATAACATGAAATTCCCTATCAAGTATGATTTATTTTGAGGTTTTGGGAACAGGAAGTTTACAGATGGTTTCTAGGCACCCGAGATGACTATTGACTTTAGATGGCAGATGAAGGAAGTTATGTTGCTGTTGTGAAATCTTGTGGTAAGTACGGGCTGCATTTGCATTTCTAAGTCATAGAAATGCATAAACATACCTCCGTCTGTAGTGCCGGCTCCCAGCGAAAGCAGGTCCTGCAGACAAGGTGCAGAGGCCAGGGAGTGAGTAGCTAGTTCATACATGCAGGTTATTTTGTAGGATTTGAAATGAAGCACAGAGGAGTATAGGAAAAACTTTTCTTAAAGGGTTTTAGTATTTCCCCTCTTGAAACTACACAGTAGAGAACAGCAGAGTCAAATGCCGATTTTTGCAAACCTCCCAGAGCCTGGAGTTCTTTTTGCAGCTTTGATTAAAGTTTGGTGATTCGTTTATCTGGAACAGATCCTGTCTTCCCAAAACAGAATGGAAGGAATTACCCACGGGATGATTTAACTTTTTGGTTTGCTTCCTCTGTCACAAGATTTCCCAAGTACATTACACAAAAACTCTTTGTACTGAGGGCTCTGGGTGGGGCATTATAGTTGGTAGTTGCTGCGCAACTTCATGATATGTTATTAGGAGACTTGGAAGAGTGTACGTGTACTCTGGGAAAAGGCTGTGTTCCGATTTAAAATCCTCTGTTGGCTTGATGTCGTGCTTCCTTCTCTTGTGAAGGAAAGCCAGGTCCTACATCTCACACGGGCTCTTGTCAGCTCCCCTTGGAGTCGGCGAGAGTTGCGTTTGTCTGTGAGCAGAATCAGTGGTGGCTCCTGAAGTCAGTATTTCCTGGGAAAGAAACTGCAGCTGACAAACGTTTTTACTGCAGGATAATTTACACTCCGCAAACTAATTATCAAGAGAACCATAAAACCCAAAACTTCCTGTGCAGATATTTTGCTCAAGGGCTAAAATATTGTTTGAGAAAACAGCGCTTCTATTCAGTAGGCATCTCTAGCTTTCAACTGTTAAGCCCATGTCCTCCTGTTAGAAACCATGTGGCTGGAGAAGAGCATCCCTGCTCCAACATGAGACAAAATCCTGCAGGTTTCCCAGCCCTACCTCTCCCCAGCACTGGTATTATTGAAAGAAGTCAATTTTGAGATGAGTTGCACAGTTGTTTTGCACTGGTGTGCTTTTTCTTTTGCAGAAGTCCAGGCCGTTCTCCTCTCTGACATGCTCGTATTCCTTCAGGAGAAGGACCAGAAGTATGTCTTTGCCTCACTGGTAAGGCTTTAACCTTTTCTCCTCCTTCTTTTCTATGTGAGAGACCCTTGATGTGTGTTGTGCAGCAGCACCGGCTATTACCTGCTATTCTTGCTTACGTGTCTGTTGCCTGAGCAGACTCCATTCTTTTTAATAGGAAAACATGTCTTTATGCCCCACCTGCCCTTTCTGCAGCGCCTTGGCACAGCTGATAATTGGCCTGGAAAACCTGCGGGCCACTTGATACACTTACTGCTTTTCAGTTTGTGCAAATCGAAGCAGCCATTGGGGTGGGAGGGGGCGATGGGATAATGCAAACATTGTAAAAATGAATCTTAGCAGAAGGAAATGTCCTAATACATTGTGAGCTACTATGGGAGGCGGGGGAGGTGAAATGCAGCAGCAGTAAATTCGACAGAACAGCTTGAAAACACGTCGGAGGAACATACTCATAATGCACAGGACCAAAAATATTAGCTTTTGAAGGCCGGCTTCATAAAAGCACAAGGCACCCTGACCTGCTAAAGAAAACCTAGCACCTAATTGAGCCTGTTGGGGCTGTACCTTGCAGGCATGGTCTAGACCCGCTAAACCTTGTGACCTTTCCACTCTTCAAACATTCTGAAAGCTCATAATCTGTTATTCCAGTTCCACAAACAATGAGCACAGCCGTGGTGCCCTACATGGGGCGGGAGCACACAAGTCTTGCTGGTGCACCACTACCAAATCACCCTGTTGTAGCATCCTGTAGAAGGCACAAAGGGGCTGACTCATACGCAAGTGACACAAGAGAAAGGGGACATTTTAACCGAGGAGGCTGATTACCCAGAGACCATGGCACACAGTGAACGTCATCTTACACACAAGTCTCCATAGCAGGATTCAGCTGTGAGCTTCTGAGAACAGCAGGGGTTTTGTGGGTTTTGAAAACAACATGTTACTCCATCCTGGGGAGCGATCATGCAGATAATGTGCATGAAGCAGGCGCTAGCTAAGTTGAAGTTAGCTGGGATATTAATGACAGAGTGTGGGCAGGAAGAGATGAGATCAAAGGTCTGCTGGAGTTAAGGACAAAATACAGTGGAGTTTGCAAAACCACAGAGTCAATTTTAAATTAATTCTTAGTTGAAATGGAACAAGGTGAAATTGTTTTTCCTATAGAACTGATGGAGAAGCCTTTTCCTGTTCTTTGACTCCGTTAAAATGATTTATGTTTTTAATTAGCCAATAGGTTTAGAAAGTGTTTACAACCTGAGAGAGGCAGCAGTATGGTTGCTGGAACCTTTTCAAGATAGTTTGCATCTGGAAACTGGTACTATTCACCCTCCTCACCAATTTCTTTCTGTCTGAAGGACCAGAAATCCACTGTGATCTCTCTCAAGAAGCTGATCGTAAGAGAAGTGGCTCATGAAGAGAAGGGTTTGTTCCTGATCAGTATGGGTGTAAAAGATCCTGAAATGGTTGAAGTCCATGCCAGCTCCAAAGAAGAACGTAACGGCTGGATACAGATCATTCAAGACACAATGAACACCATGTAAGCCACCAAGCTGGTCTTGCAAGGCAGGTGATGCACATGATCACGGTCTGGTAGTAATTAGGACGTGTCTCTTGTCCAGGAATAAAGATGAAGATGAAGGAGTTCCTTGTGAGTCTGAGTTTGAAAAGAAAGTGTCAGATGCCAAAGTGAGAGGACTGAAAGGTAAAATCCTGCCTGGGAAAGAGCTGGGAAGTGTTTTTGGAAAAAAAGATGGGAATTGTTGTGGTGGGCTTTGTGGTTGAACGAGGTTTTTTTTCAAAGGAGTGAGAATCCGGCATCCAGCAAATAATTGCAATCCTTGTTTGCACCTCACGTTGCTTGCGTTATTTTTTATTCTCAGCCTGTTGGATGCTGTTGCAGTGCAGGGTTGCACAGGGCATGTTTTATCATCAGGTTCCACTAGATGGGGCCAGTATCTCAGGAATCGCCGTTTCCTTGCCCAAGCTGTTATTTTTCTCACCCCCACAGAACAACTTCAGCAGAAGGATAAGCAGATCCTCCTCTTGCTGGAGGAGAAGACTAAGATCTTCCGGGACATGGCAGACACTTCTGTGCAGGAGGACATGCCAGGCTCCAGGCTGCTCTTCAGAGCCAACACAGAGGAGGCACCAAAAGGAGAGGCCATTATGAAAACTGCGATAAACGAAGGTGAGCAAGTCAGGGTAATGCATTAATTACACCAACCAACGCACCTAGCTTCAGTGAAGCCATCAGTCCTCAACTACCAGTTTTGCAGGGGATGTCTTCTCTTTGTCAGAATGACGGCATGGTTGAGGAGTTATTGCTACTCACAGTATTGTCTCAGGGACAAGCAGTGAGGATTAGGAAAGCACTGGGTCAAGATTTATCCTTGGCTACAGTTTGGACCATCCTGATTTTTGCTGTGCTGCAGTCTCAGCAAGGTGTGAGAGCAGAGCTCAGGTCCCAGCACACACTTGTGGTCCCTGCAAGGGACAAGCAAATCTATTGACAAAGGCAAGGGTAGATGGAAAATCCGGCAACTTTTGCAGTGTGCTTTTTGAAGACTGTTAAATGCTGTTGTCAGAGCACACCAGGGTTGCCTCAAGGAAGAGAGGGAGGCGTGGGCCTGTGCAGAGCTCCAGAAGTTGGAGTTAATGGTCAGAAGACTGGGTTTTTACCAGGGGAATATGTACTGTTCTATCATTGTCATAGAAACATAGTTTTGCAGTACGGCGCAGCACGTGAATTTCTAACCTGAGCTCAAGCAGGGATGAAAATAGCTCAGAAGCTTGAGGTAGTCTTTAACAGAGATATCATTGCTTTTAATCAGTTGAATTGCTGCAAGACCTGGTGAACAGGAGCCTAGGCACTGCCCTCGGACAGCAGGTCAGCAGCACTGCCATGGAACAAGAAGGAGGAGTTGGCCCCATCTCTCTCCCTAGAAGGGCAGAAACTTTTGGAGGATTTGACAGTCATCAGATGAACGCCTCCAAGAGTGAGTATTTACATGTGTGCACGTCAGTGTTTGTTAATACATGTCATCATATCCTCTTCCTTCCAAAGAACTCCAGTAGCTGGTGATTTGGGTTTCCCAACTCCTCTCCCATAATAGCTAACAGATTAAATAACAGATTAGAAGAAAGAAAACTATGTACAGGTAGAATGATGGTAGCTGAGAACCTGTGGCTACACGGGGATTAAACATCTGAACTCCTCACTCCTCTCTCTGGGCTCTTTCTAAATCATCCTTACTCCTTTGCTGACATGCCACATGAAAGCACTTGGCTTCTTAAAATAGATTAGTTTCTTTATGTTAATTATTTTAATATCTACAGCTCTGTTCTTCATTCTTAGTTATCTTCCAGCAGGAGCCTGTGTTGCATTTGCACATGGATGAGGATATTGCTGAATCAAGCACCTTCTCCCCGTCTCTGCTCTCTATGCATTTGTGTTCCACATAAAACTGCGTGTGTTATTCCTGCAATTAAGTCTCTCCCAAAGAAATGCGTGAATATTTATTTCAGCTGCATAGTTGGCTGCTTCCCAGTGCTCTCTTTCTTTGTCCTAGTCATCAGAAATTTCCCTGTCCTCAAATTCCTTTCTCTATGGTCTCACTCATACTCCCAGTACAGCCAGTTTTGCTGTGCTAGTGTCTGTCTCAGCACTGAGATCGTTGGACCTCGTCTGACCTTCTGCATTAAAGGAGGAGTGTTAGCTCCAGACAGTCAGACATGAGAAGTATGTAGAGGTTTTCCCAGCTCTACTGGAAAGCTGCAAAGCCCTCCATGGGCCTTGTCATCATAATGACAAATGTATTCACACTGGAGGGGTTTATTTAGGCTTATGCCTCTCTCTGTTGCAGTATGAATGGGACAAGCTCAGGCTGTTCATTGCTCAGCTCCAGATTTTCTGTAGAAACGTCTCCCTTGAATTAGATTGTAATTCAATAGTTGTAGGGTCTTGGGAGAATTTTGGAAAATAATTCAGGGCCTGTTTGTTCATCTGGAGGATGGGAGGCATAAAACCTGGCTTTTGTCTCCAGTTGTTCTGTTCACAACCTGCGCAAACTGGGGCAAGGCTTATAACCTGACCCCCCTTCGTTCTGCTCCCCACTAAAGCAGAAGATAGATGTTTCCTCCTGCCAAGAGGTGGAAGGTCCCAGGACGTGGCGCAGGAGAGAAGGTCTGTTAGGGGGACTTGAGGGTCAGCCTTTAGTAGCAAAGCCTGCCTGGGCAATGGTGGGAGGAGAGGGCTTTTGCACTGCGTGCGGTGCCCTGCACATCGTTGCACACACAGACGTATATAAAGTTATTTATCATTAAAAGAGTGGCAGTAGGGAAGTTACCATAGCCCCCTGGGCTACGTCTTCAGCTGGCAAGGGGAGCGCAAGAGTCTTGGCAAGAGCTAGAGGACCAAAGAGCTGTGTGACTCCTTTGCTGCCTGCAAAGAGAGCAGTGCAGGTGGAGGGTTGCAGCTCTCTTGGCCCCACAAGTCAGCTCAGCCCTGCTCAGGAGCGCTGATACAAGCCGTCCAGGGGCAAGCTCGAAGTCCAGTGTCGCTCTGAAGGCACAGGTTTCTGATAACTAAGGTTAAATCGTTAGCATAAAATGACACAGGATATTGCACAGCAGTGTCTGTTCCAGCTGTAAACTGCACTTGCACAAGAGAGGCGCTGAAACTATACAGGCAATAACATACCCTGAAACGGTACTGTTACTGCTCTCCATCTGCTCTTATTCTGCCTCGTGTCTTCTCAGCAAGTATTTTCCGGTAGTAGACAGAGTGGGGGCTAGACAGAGCAGCAATTAATAAGAGGGTGATGAATTCATCAGCACATTGTATAAAACCAAAGGCAATCCTAATGTGAATTTGCATCCAATTTCTCTGGCAGTGCTGATGCGTTCTGTATACGTAGGGACCAGATGCGTTTTTAGTTAAAATGTCAAGAGCTCAATCTCTCCTTTTGTGAAACATCCAAGTTTTCTCTGTTAAATTTCTCAGACATTAACAAGTTCATCTGTGGCTTAAAACGGTGAATAACCAGTGTCAATCCTGGCTCCTTCCCTTAGGTGGAGCGAAAGATGAAGGCGATGATGCTCAGGACCTCCGGAGAACAGAGTCAGACAGCATTTTAAAGAAGGTATCCCTCGGTTTCTCTGTCTGCTGCTACTGGGTTCAGACTTCAAGATAGTGACAATTCTAGTCTTGAAAAATGCCTGAATTTCTTGACAATTAAATGTATCCTAATAAGTTAAAAATGAAATAAAATCGGAAGCATGCAGCTAAAACCAGCTAAAATCCTGACTTGAAAACCATTGCAAATCGGTTGTATTCCTTTGTGGCACAGGTTATCTGCCATCTGTCTGCGGATCAGCTAAAGCATGTGTTTAATTAGGCATCATTATTGAAATGATAAGGTCAGCTATAACCTTGCACCTGTTCTTGCTGTCGATCAATCCATCATATAGCTGCAAAATGATACCTAATTAACGCTTTATTTTATATGATTTTTAACTTGCCTGAAAAACATGCATGAATTCTCCCAGAATGGGAGATGTAGAGAGGAGAGTTAACGGGTCTGTCGTTAGTTCAGCTTCAGAACACATTTGCCGTGATTTCTCATTTGTCCTCGTATTAAATCTGTGATCTTTTCATAGGGTGGAAATGCTAATCTGATGTTCATGTTGAAAAGGAATAACGAGGTAAGAATTGATTCTGTTGCTCAGCTGTTCCCTTCGTTTAAGTGGCAAGTGGATTTATCTCAATAGGTGATAACGCAGAGGAAAATACATTTCATTTGCTTAAGCGCATGAAGACTTTTAAATACATTAAGCTGAACCCACTGTGTCGTTTATTTGTTTAACCTTGGATATTCAGACAGGGAGTTTGCTGATTGTCATCTGCTTGCCAGCAGGATGATATGTGCTGATTATAGGTAGCAAGGGTTAATTACTGCTAGGATGCACAGGGCTGTATTTATTGTGCATCTGCAGACAGAGGGAGTTTAATTTAGTGTTGCAGGTGCAGTGAATTGGGGCAATTAGATTTCTGTTCTCCCTTTGATACACATTCATAACTCCCAATTAGCATTAATGGCAGAATGAGAAGCAGTTCTCTTGATATCGGCTACCACGCCGCTATTGCAAATACTGCAATATTTCTTTTTAAAAGTGATTGTAGGATATGAGAAATTTGGAGAAATTTTTAGCTCGGCTAAAAATATATTTAGGGATAGGGCATCCCTCCAAAGTAGCTTGCTGTGTATTGATGCACAATGTGTTCTCATCTACCTGTATTTTCGGCCTCTGTGAACACACCTGCTGTACTTGTGTGCCTGCTGTATTGCGGGGGATTTTTTTGTCTAATGACAGTGGGATTGTATGAGTCAGTCAGGGATTGAAGGGTACAAATAGTCCACATTCATTTTAAAGTTTCATCTTTTTCTCATCTCTTGAAGTTCTTTTGCTGAAATTTTTAAGTGACCTGCCAGGTTTCATCCCAGTTACTCTGCTTGTTCCTGAGCAAGCTGAGGCTGTGGGAAATGGCTTGCAGAGACAACCCAGGGGTTCCTGTGAGGTCTGTGCTGTTCGATGCTCCTGCAGACATTTCCTCCCCTGCCACGCTGGCGGTTAGGGAAGTGAGGAAGATGATGCCAAGCACCTCAGAGCAATGTCCAGGGGATGTGTTTGGGGGATGACACAGTCATTGTGAGCGAAGACTGAGAAAAACGTGTGGGTGTAGGAGGATGGCCATGCAGCTTGTCAGACCCACCAGTGGGTCACGGTGGAAAAGGAGAGTGCTTTACACGTACCCTGGCACCCGACGAGATCTAATAGCAGTGCTTTTGTTTTCTCGCAGCAGGTCCTCCAAACCATTGCCAGCCTCCATAAGCTGCTCAGTGCTTTGCAGGTAGGCTTTGCCGTTCGTCCTGCTTCTGCATGCTGCTTGCCCAAACTGCACGTTCCCCCAGCCAGTAACAGCCACTCCTGCTTCACCCCAGTCCCCCCTTCCCCTTCGGCGGGCTTGCAGGCAGGGAGCCGGCAGGTCATAGGAAAGAGCTGCTGCCTAAGTTGAACTGCTGGTCACCTGAATTTGGGAAGCTGCTGGTGGAGATGCTCCCCCAGCATCCCCTGGTAGCCCAGCTGTAAAGCTGCCATGCTGAGTTGTGAATTTGATGGGAGAGGGAGGGGCTTCATAGAGCACTCTGAGGTTATCAGAGATAGAGACTCTTTGCGGAGAGGGTGCTGCAGTGATTTGTGTCCCTTCTCTCGTAGGGCGTCGTGCTGCAGCAAGACACCTACATCGAGGACCAGAAGCTGGCTCTGAGTGAGAGGGCTCTGACCCGAAGCTTCTTCCGACCGACCTCACTGCTGGAGCAGGAGAAGCAGCGCAACCTGGAGAAGCAGCGCCAGGAGCTGGCCAACCTGAAGAAGCAGCAGACGCAGCACCAGGAGGAGAGGCGAAGGAGAGAAAAGGAGTGGGAAGTCCGGGAGAAGGAGCTGGCAGAGCAGGAGGCCCACCTGGCCCAGCGAGAGGAGCAGGTCCAGAGAGGGTGGCAGGATCTCGAGCGGGAACGAGAGGAGCTGCAGGTGAAGAAGGCTGCCTACCAGCTCGACCTGGAGAGGCTTCGCACAGCACAGAAGCAGTTGGAGAGGGAGAAGGTGCAGTTCAAGCAAGACGCGGAGCGGTTGGCTCAGATGCGGCAGGAGTCTGACCACAACCAGGTAAATGACACCAGTGGCTGGCTGCTGGGGAAGCCAAGCTCTGCAGGGAGCTCCCAGTTGGCTTCTGCATCTGCCCTACACGTGCAGGGCCTGGTGTTTAAAACTGGCTCTCTCCTTGCACATGACGTGCAGGCCTGTGCTTCTTGCACCTCCAAAGCTACTGAGACACTGCCAGTGTTGATGCAGCGTAGCGTGGTCAGGATGCTTGGCCGGTCCTGAGCAGTAAAGTGATTACAACAGCCTGAGCTCTGCTCGTTTTTCTGTGCTGTATGTTGGTGGGCAGCAGAGCTGATTTGGCTGGCTTGCAGAGAAGATGCCTTGGGCAGTCCCAGGAGGTCAGTACTGCCTTTGACGTTGTTCTTCACCCCACGGGGGCTGAGCTCTGAGAAGTGGCCAGGCAGATGAGATGTCCCTCTTGGAAACAGTCTGAGTGTTGTGGGTTACCTGCACCCTCCAGCAGTCACAAAAGCCACTTCCAAGGTTGGTAACTGCAAGGGAAGGCTTTTGTACGCTTATATCCATCTCCAAAAGTATTTTCGATATCTCGTGAAGAAATGGGCATTGTCCCTACCCTGAGAGACTGGGCACCTGCAGTCTAGTTATGGCTCAGTGAGCAAAGGTCCCCAGCTCTGCTGCAAAAAGCTTCTGGTGTCTGTGTGCCCACAACCAGAAAGAAACACCACGCAAGCTGTTACTGTCCAAAGACATGCAGATCCTGCTCTGTGCATTTTTCAGCAAGCTGGGTTTGGTTTTTTTATATCTCTGCAGCTGCCTGGCTGAGGATAGCAAGCATCCATTGGAAAAAACATGGGCTGAATGTGATCCTTAAGCCTGTTGTTAATCATTTGCTTGTTTGTAACTCGCTAATTCTGAATGTGCCGTGCTTAAAGCTGTAGCAAAATTAGTTGATAAATGTTGGATTGTGGAATGGAAATGATTTTGAGTGCCTGAATGGACTAATTGCGGAGCTCAGCAGTGAGCTCTGACAAGCAAATCATCAGAGGAGGGCTTGATCCCTCCCACCGCAGTTCCTGATCACGCTAGAAGTTTTCCAAGCACAGAGTGAGGCTGTTGCAGCATCGAACACACATAGCCATGCAAGGGACGTGGATGCTGAGGGAGAGGGTGAGAGGTAAAACAACTGCGAGGCCTGGGGGATTAGGAGAAGGAAGCACCTTTGTGAGGCAGGTATCTTACTGACATTTCAGAGCTATTAATAGAGGGTTTGGTGAGGCTTTGTTGATCTCTTGTTTTGATCTTTCCTTTGAGTGTGCGGTCTCAATTACATCCTGAGACAGCCGTTAAGGGGGGGGGGTGGGAAAAAATGGGAAATCAGGAGAAATGTTTTTGCTTTCATCTTTTGCTTGGGAAGGCTTCCTTTGACACATGCCGCGCCGGTGCTGTGTGCTGGCGTTCCCCTCCTGGAGAGGCACGCTTCTCCTTGGCCTTCTGCCACCATCTGTGTGTGCAAACGGTGAAGGGTGAGTCTTGGTATTGAGATCTTAGAGAATATTTGCCTTTGGCTTGTTGATACATAGCATAGTACATGTAGGAGCAAAAAATACTGGAGCATTACTCTTTGTGTGCCTTTTTTCTTCATCTTAAACACAGAGGGCTGTTTCTATCATTGCTTCACCTGGATGGGGACCACTTTTTAGCTGGTGAATGGGCTGCATGTTCTGAAGAACAACCTTTGTCTCTGAGTGGTCTAGGACACACCTTTCCTATCCAGGTTCACCGCTAGACTCTTTCATGCCCCAATGAAACATTTCTCTTTTCTTTTATAGGTTTCAAATCTACATGAAAAACTTTCAAGACTCTCCTCCCAGTCCAGCATCGATGATTCCTCCAAGCAGAAGAGCCCTTCTCTTCCTAAACAAGGGCACTTTGATGCAGAACTGTCTGTCTCCCCCAAAAGGAACAGTCTTTCAAGGACACACAAAGAGAAAAGCACTTTCCATTTGCTTAGCACAACAAACCAGACTAACAAGGCAGCTGAGGAACAGCCCCAGATGCCTACCCGCCTCTTCAGTTTAGCCAAACCAAAGGAGAAGAAGGAAAAGAAGAAAAAGGGCAGGGGACATCGCTCCCAACAGTCAGGTGAGTGTCAGGGGAGGTCATAGGTGTGTTTTCAGGGTTTTTCGCCTCCAGCCAGCAAACTTGTGGGAGCTGTGAAATCTAGCCTTGAAGGTGGATGGCAACACAGAGGTGGAGAAGATGAGCTGTGATGAGTGGAGTTCCCAGCATAAAGTGATTTTCTGTGGGCTTTTCTGCCTGTTCTGCAGCCCCTGGGGTTGTTAGGCCACACTCTGCTCATTCCCTCCCCCATCCCATCCTGAGCAGCTTATGTGGGCTGGATTCTCCGTTTATTTTTCAGCTTGCTCTGGTTTGAGAAGGAAAATACCTTGCTTCAGCATGTGTGCTTTCAGGGCTGCTGCTGGGATCCTCCTCACTGTAGCAGCCCCTGCAGCAGTGCTGTCTGCTTTAACTCTGTTGTAGTTTAGAAGTGATACCTGCAACCCTTCTGGTGGCCTCTTCCTTCCCCTTGAGCCAGTCTGTCTTGTCTCTTAACCTAAAAAAAAATGCCTTTTTTTTTTTTTTCTTCTGGTAGTTTTGCATCCCCTTAGGACTCAGTCCTGCACCTGAAAACTCTGACCCATATGAAATTTAATCTCACGCCCTTAGATGATATTCCCCAACCTGTGCCCAGGAAACTAATATA